ACAGGAGGCCGCGAGGATTTCTCCTGAAACTCAAACAAGAAAGTGAAGAAAACTATCTGCAACAGAGTAAGCCCGACTTTCAGTCGGACCGAGGAAGACCTCATTAGATTGTGCGAGGAGCTGAGTCCTTTCAGTTCCAACCATGCCAAGAGTGACCCGCGGCCAGCAATGGGGGAAAACTACCCCTTGGTAGCCTTGTCCGTAACTGGACAGAAGGTATTGACATTTAGTTTTGCCTTTCGCAAGCTCTTAACCTTGACACGTGTCGATGACAAGTCCCATTAACATTTAAAAGGATGTTTCTGGCTGTCCACTTGGAGTAAGAGTTAGAAAACTCCACGAAATGGCTAGTGGACCACCCAGATGCCAACAGCCCAGTTCCCTCCACAGGAACAACAAATCATTGTCAACCCTTAGATGAACGGGTTGACAAAATCGGGTATGTGCACTGTGGAGTACCGCTCAGCCGTCATCAGAATGGCCCATCATGGAGAACCGTGAAGACATCCTGCTGAAGAACGGCCAAGTACAAGACCAACATACAAGAATCAGTCGTATTCCTTTACACTAACAGAGAGAGCTCAGAAAAGGGACTCAGGAGAACTATAAAACTGAAAAGATTAAACACCTAAGAATAAATGTAACTAGAGAAACAAAAGACCTACACAGATAAAACTACAAAACACTACTACAAGAAACCAAAAAACTTAACTGGAAGACTACACTACACTATGCTATGCTGTGCTCAGGGGTAGGAAGACTTATCACTGGGGAAATGTCAATGCCACCCACAGCAGTCTACCAATATAATGCAACCCTGACCCAGACACTAACATCGTTCTTTAAAGAAATGGAAAGTTTCATTCACTAACTTTATAGAGTGGAAAGGACAATAGAAAAGCAAAGAACAACAGCAAAGGAGAGCTCACGCTTGCTGATCTCAAGGCCTACGATACAATCATGATAGTCAACACAGCCTGGTGTGGCTACAACACACACAAACCAATGGAAGGGACCTGAGAACCAAGAAGTAAATCCATCCACCCACAGACAGCTCATCTTTGACAAAGACCAAACGGGGATAAGACAGTCTTTTAACAAGAGATCTAATTCAGTGTTGGCAAAACTAGGTATCCATTTCAGAAGACTGAAACAGGACCTGTGTCTCATGGCATACACAAAAATGAACTTAAGATGGATCAAAGACCCAAATATAAAAAAGACAAAAATGATCATCAAAGAAAAAACAAGAGCAAACCGAGGGGACCTAGTATACGCTACTATATATTCACTGCCACCAAGTCTCTGCCAACTCCCAGCGACCCTAGAGGACGGGATATGACGCCCTCTGTGAGTTTCCAAGAATAACCCTTTACATGAGAAGAAAGCCTTGTCTTCCTCCCTCGGAACTGGCTGGTAGATTTGAACT